TGATTGAAATTGCTGAACTGTTGGCTTTAGTCACTAATCTCTCTTTGTTATAGGAGTTCCTGGAGTGCTAATGGTCGTCGCGTTGGTGTTCTTCCTGTGCGGATGGAAAATGTACAGAAAATACCCCCCAGCCGTGAAAATATCGCCGGCGCAGTGATTAGATGTCTGTGGTTGGCCGGAACGAGGACCTTCTTCGGGGTGAGGAATTTCCGGCTCACTTACGGAGTACGGTAACAAATTTGCTAGACACGTACAGCAGCGGAAGGACGTGTTTCCGTTGCCGAGCAGCCATATTTCCTCGAACGTAAGATGGCGAATAAATTTTCCAAGTTATCTACATAAATAGTAGGTAGTTCATGACTCTTGGGGAAAAAAAAGCCGCTGCAGCCCCCAACTCGGTCACACCAGCACTGGTTTGGCCTCATTTTGTGGTCTTGAAATGGTGAGAGGTGAATAAATCTCCAGTTAACTGCCGTTTTTGCACCAAATAACACCAACGCGTGTCTACGAACCTGCTTGGCCATTTCTATCATAACTGAAGATGGATCCTTTGCAGAACCAATCAATATCCATCAATTGTACACACGTACACTGCTCATTTCAGGCGTTCATCAAAGCCTGTGGCTCATTGGTTGGATCGAGCGCGCCAGACTTTTCCCCGGAAATGATTCCAAGCCGTGCGATCATTCGTCAACGTGGCTGCTATTTTCGGCCCACTGGTCTTCTTCTGGGCACTTTTCGACCAGCAGGTGAGAGTGTTAGCCTCCACGCGCTTATTTCCGGCATACAACTACATTTCAGGGCTCAACATGGGTGTTGCAAGCCCGCCGACTGAACGGACGAATCGGATGGCTTACCGTACTCCCAGAACAGATCAATATTCTCAATCCGCTTATCGTCCTCATTATGGTGCCCGTGTTCGAAGGAATCATCTATCCATGTGCACGAAAGGTAGTTCTCACCATTATCTACAAAAATAGAGCACAATTTGAAAGGGGCGTGGAGGTTTTATGTATAACAGGAACCATAATGTGATAGCAGATATGAAATATTGAGCCACCAAGTTATAAAACCCTTGAAAGAGGCTCTGACAGCTGTTCTTGAATTCGAGTGAGTTGAGTTGATTGAAGAAAGGAGATGACGAAAAATAAACGGAAGGCCGTCATGGAGCACAAAGTGTTGATTTTAAGAACCCAGGAGGAGCTATTGAAGACGGAGTTTATGACTAGATCTTGGCAGTCCATTAGAATTAAGGTAAAGGTTTTAATGGCACCAAGATGAAGAAAGAAAAACATGAGAAACAGCCCACCCGAGAGGAACCCCTTCCTTGCCGTTGCTTTCTGCATTGATGGGACTGTCTTCGGCTGTCTCTTCAACGCTAATGCTCTACGGCTTAAGACGTGCGGCGAGTGGTTGGCCAGTGGGTGGGCGTGCCGTTTCGATAGCGCCACGGGGAACGGCAAAGCTAGATCGCCGGGGCATGTCCTTTGCTGTGAATTGCGTGTCAGTCCGCACTCTTTAAGTCCGCCTGGCTTTCCACCCGGTAGTATTTCCCTTCCTCATGGTGAATGCTCCTTTGAGAACCCAAGATGGAGCCATCAACAAAGGTAGTGGTGCTAGTCT